TCTCGGTCAGTGTGGTATTTTCAATGGTGCATTGTTTTGGCAGCAGTTGGTACCTGCTGTTCTTCAGCCCTCAGGTATCCTACGGAAGAAGGGTCCTTTGAAAGACTAGGCAAGGTATTTAATTGTTTAAGGTCTTCTGTCTCCACAGCAGCTATCTCAAAAGCCCAACAAAGTCCTTTTGAGTCTTTGAAATAACCATTACTAAGGTAATCTATACCAAGAATACATGGGGCCTCTGAACTAGTCAAAATAGGTTATTTTTCCATTCCTTCCCAGTCAAGGTCACCTCAGCTTCTAACAGAGTCAACTGCTGAGACCCCATGTTACCCCAGCAATGGAAACAGGTTCTGTCCCCACAATGTTATGATGGCATCAGAGTATATTTTGTGCCAGTGTCAGTCAAAGCTTTGTATTTTTGTTGTTCTGATGCACCAGGATATTGTATCCAGACAATCCAATAGACATGATTTTCCCGTGTCTCCATCAGGCTAGAGGCAGAGCCCCTCTAGTTCTGGCTATTATTCACTCCCTAGGCATACAATCTGGATGTCCCTTCAAAGGGATCTGTCATGTGATATTAACTTCCGTTCTACCCAGGAACACACCCACAGGAAACTGGACCTAAATTAATTCTTGCCAGGTTTCCTTTGTTAGTAGTTTCTTCTTTTAGTTTATGTACCCATGCTGCTAAGATGGAAGTGAGTTTTCCATCCCATCTTGTCATGTCTTCTCCATATTCACAGAAGAAGAACCATAGCTTGCCTTGTGGAATGTACTCCCTCTCCCTAGCTGTGGGATGCCTACTTCAGATAGCAGGGATTCTGGACTGTACTGGTAAAATGTGAGAAAGGTCCTCCCTAAGCTCATTTCTGAGTTTCTGATGGCTTTCTGATGGCTCTCTGATAGCTCTCTTCAATCCCCTCTTCCAATTTCCACATCCACTCAGTCAGGTCTTTTGCCAAGGCTGAGACTTTGGCTCAGGTTGGCATGTGGACAGTGTCTTCACATGTCTGTAGCCTTCTTGTGTCATAGGATTCAGTGTCTTTTTTTCCTTATTCCATTGCAGCATCACTAGGAAGTGGGAGTACATTTATGTCCCAAGCTGTGCAAGTTTCAGCCACATGAATGTTGTAGAGGGTCTGGAATTCTTTTGTGTTCATCGTTATATGAGAAAATTATCGCAATCACAGCCAGTTCTTTCAAACTTTGGATTCCTTGCTTGGTGGCTTTCCAAAGGCCTTGATGCTGCTGCAGGTATTCTTGACAAAGGTATCTCTCCTCAAAAATTGCTAAGAGTTGTATCCAGAGGCTGAGAGTTTGGGCCTCCTTGCAATCCCCTGTTTGATACACATATCACAAAACAGAAATCCCAAGTGCCTTGCTTCAGTGCCAACCAAAATTGTAGCATCACCTGCAGTGTCCCAGTCCCTTGTCTTCAGGGCATATCGGGAGATAGAAGGCAATACAGGCTTTGGAAGTGTTCACTGCTAAGGTAAGGTGTTACTTCTCGGCTGTTTACTAGTTTCCTTTTTGCCTTTGGTTCATGCTTCTTTTGTCAAGGCCACAGTGAAGACTGAATCTTTAGAGGATTGTCTTTTCTTTGAGTTAGATTTTTTCTGTCTTTTAGGAGAGGGAGAGAGAGGATGCAGTTGGCAAGGAGGTACTGAAGAGCAGTGTTATTTTCCTTCAATGAAAACCATTGTGGATTGTGGAGATTTCAGGACATCTCTTCCATATTCCTAACATGCTTGATGCCATGATGCCACATAACCAGGAGTAAAACAGTAGATTAATTTAGCTTTTAAAGTGCCAGTGGAAGCTTCCATTGTCTTCAGGGCGTTTCCTGGGCCTGAGTTGATACACAAGCTATCTTTAATGGAAAATATTCTGATATGACCACATTTTTGAATAATTAACATGATACATCTGTGACTTTCTCAAAGAGATTAACTCAAGGACATGTCTAAAGTTATCAGTTTGATATAGTAAGCAGATTCATCTTTCCTTTTGCATCAGCTTCCATTATTTCTTCTTCTCTTGGATACTGTTTTAATTTACTTATGTTTTAATGATATGGCCATTTTTTCTGAAGTCAATTTATGAAAGAAACTACTCATAACAGTTAGTATTTGAACAAATTAACACTTATTCTTCATGACCTTCTTCCTGAATACAAACCTGTGTTTGAATACTATACAATAAAGGAGAATAAGCTACTGCACAAATACCTGGTGGATATCTGACTTAACTGTCTCACTGGTAAGCTGGAAGGAGAGCTACTTTGTCTGCCTGTTCACCATGTGTCAGTAATAATATTTATAAAGTTTAAGTATTCAGTGCTATCGTTTGGACAGTTTTATAGCAATATATTGATATTTAAAAGTAGTGCAGCCTCTTCTCTTACCTCATTTCATCTTTGAGTTTGTCAAATATATTATCTAAAAAAAAATTGGAAACTTTCAGTTTACTTGCTTTTCTTCTGATTTTATATCCTGTGCTTCTCTAATAGACAGATGTTAACCCAGACAAAAAACAGATCACTCTGAAAGTATGCAATGCAAAATATTAACAGGCTTTTGTTCATTATTGGAATAATTAAATATAGTCAAGAGACACTTCAGTGGAAACACATCTTGTAAAATATTTCCGGGGTCTATTTAGCCAGAGCTGCTAGGCAGCATGCACAGCACAGCACCATAATGTGTAGTGTAGACTTTGAAGATGATTGCAGAAACAAATGCTCAAGATGGTCAGAGCAAAAATAGTTTTGTAGTTTTGTGTATCCCAGGCTCTAATCTGACTCAGATGCAAAACCAAGAAATGGGTAAATATCTATCTTCAATTCTCTTTGTAATGAATTTCAGCATTCTATCAACTTGTTATCAAATGCAGAAACTTATAATCCTCAACTGTTACATCTTTTGAGATCTCTCGTGCATTACCTATAACTTTTACCTATTGTTTTTCAAAGTCATATGCTGTTGTGATGCCTGCTGTTCGAAGTGACAAATAAGAGCTTTTCAATACTGAAATCCTTTAATTTTTTTACCATTTCAGGAGTATTTTTCATCTCTGTTTCAGAGAAAATGATGATCTGAAATATGTGCAGAGGTCAAAGGATGTGCATGTTCCAGATTTACATTTAAGAAAGGGAATGTAGTATCTGTGGGTTTGTAAGCATAGGTACATTCTTGTACTGAAATCACTGAGTCATTTGCCTGAACAGAGCCCTTTGTTTTTGCATTCCTACTGCAATAAGCTACACATGAAGTAGCCCATGCAGAGCAGTATGATGGAGTTGTAGTCCAGAGAATGTAGTGAAAAGTCTTCTGTTTCCCAGCATTAATTGTTCCCACAGCATTATCACACTAAATTCTTGTAAAAGTATATTTCTATGCATTTAGGTTGCTCTCTCTTGGTTGTATTGACAGAGACATTTGTGCTGCTGGGAACTGACTAGGACTGGCAAATTAAAAAAAAAAAAATTAAAAAATATAGTTACTTTTCATCTATCATATAATTTTTTGGGACTCTGTTAACTATGCAACTGATTGTACTTATGGGTTGAGAGGGTTGGGAGGAGGTGGTTATAGGCGGTGAAGATCAAGTGTTCTGCATCAGTGTTGCAGAACTGTTGTGATGAAGCATCCATTATGTGCCACCCATGGTATTAGGTAATCACAGCAGTCTTGGGCCTGTACACAGAGGTGGCCTGGGGGTGGAATTTGAGCACAGGTACTATGGGCAAGAGAGGAAGAGGGTAGTGATTTTTTTTTTAAATTTATGCTGAACCATTTGAATCTTCAAAATCCTGAGCTGGTATGCTAAACTTGAGCTGTTCTTCCACTGTTAATCTGTAGAGACTGAACTGAGAGCAAGAAAAAAAAAATTTGTATTGTGTGCTAGATCAGAACATTCTGGTATTTTAAACTGTTTAAGAACATCCATATCATCTTCAGAGATATTTCAACTGGATTCTAAACTTCTGTTGTAATACTACTACTACTAATGAAGAGATGATGATGATGATGGTAATTATGATAAGAGTAATGAAAATATGAGAGAGAGAGAATTAACATCCACGAGAAACAAGTGATGAACAATACCATTGCTCACCTCCTGCTGACTGATGCCTACTCTGTCGCCAAGTAATGACCACTGGCTCCAGTTTATATATTGGGCATGACATTCTATGATATAGAGTATGCCTTTGGCCAGTTTGGATCAACTGTCCTGGCTATCTCCCCCCACAGCTTCTTGTGCATCTGCTCACTGTCAGAGTACGGAAACTCCAAAGTCTGTGTTTTGGAGTAAGTACTATTTATCAACAACAAAATCATCAAATGTGTTATCAACATCATTCTCATATTAAACCCAAAACACAGCATTGTACCAGCTAAGAAGAAAATCAACTCTAGTCCAGGAAAAAAAAAAACAAAAAAACCCCAGGACAGCAAGTTTACTTTGCAAAATCTCATACAGCCATATTTTGAATTAATAATAGCAGGGAAGTAGTCAAGGTTCTCAAAGGTCTTTATTTCATATATGCATCATATATACTAAGCTATTTTTTAATGTGGTGATTTTCCACCATATGACTCAACTTTAAACATGCATATTGACCAGTTGAATCAAGTTACCTGATTCTGAGGCTTTAAACAGTCTTTTTCCTTCCTTCTAAGAATGCTTTAGAAAAGAAAACAATTTAAGAAGTTTATGCTTAATTGAAAAAGGAATAATAATACCAATGTGCTCTTCAGAAGACATCTAGTATTTGTCTTACAAAGGATTAGCCACCTGGCTTCATTTGCACCCCTCCCATTTCTGTATTTTTGCAGAAAATCCTTCATCCTCTTCCCCATCTCTGAAAGGAATGAAAAGTTACATACAAAAGCATTGCTGTCAATAATTTGCAGTTAACAAAAGAGACTGGAGTGTGTCTGATGCCGGTTTTTGTGCTTCTCTTTCCTTGCTGCTCTCATTGTGATTCTATCCAAAAGGGAATTTAGAGCTCTAGTCATTGAGATGGTGTTGGCTACTGATATGTCCTGTCCCTTCCAACAAATCAGAGCTATGGAGAATGCTTTGCAGCAGCCAGAAGGGTGAGTCATTTCACAACATAGTGCAGTGAGGGGGCTGCTTTTCAGCTGGTGCTTTGCCAATGTGCTTGACTTCGAATGCACCTCTCCAGAGGTCCTCTCTTTCTTTGATATCTACAGCAATTTTCTTTCTGCTGGTGAATTTTGAATTAATTCACTTATGAAGGGAGGGCACATTCATACATGCACATCTATATTCTGTGCTGGTGGCCCAAAGCTTTCAAATGTCACCATTGTTGGGACCAGCCGCATTGGGCATTTCCCTGGTGGGAAATCAAGGATATGGTTCATTAGAGTAACCTCTATAATTGAGTATGACTTAAAGTTTATAAGACCTGCAGAACATAACTTGCACTTTGCCCTTATGCAGATGGTATCAGCTGTCATGCCCAGAAGGGGCCTTCTTCATAAACAGAGAACAGATGAAAACTTAAGATCCACTGAGGGAAGGACTAGAAAATAACAGATGAAGCAGTATGGAGAAAGCCTTTTCTTCTTCCCAGTATGCCACTGGGAGCTGTAGTATATTGTCCACAGCTCCTTCCCAAAACATTCCTTCTATATTGCCTTGAGTGATGGTCATTTTTTCACCCTGGACAGAGTTATACCAGAATTATACCTGTATCAGAACTATACCTATATCAGTATTATACCTGTATCAGAGCAGGGTGTGGCTAGCCACCTGATCTCCTCAGAAGCTACAACTCCTTCAACTGTTTTGGATAGCCAAAAAGCAGAATTAAAAAATAAGAGCCCCCATACCAAGAAAGCATTATTTACTGAGTTCTTTGTTTAGCCTCTTAGGTTATGGTCATAAGAAATCACAACCATTTTTTTTCTGTGAAATCAGGATTCCCTTCTGTATTCATACTAGTTTTCTATCAATAAAAAATTTATCAGTTATTTTCTAGATTTGTCAGAGCCCCAGAGATCCCCACTGTTCATTACAGTGGGATGACAGGGACCATTTTTTCTTCTAAACTGCATATAATACAGCACCGATGAAATGGGTAGCACAGAAGCTCTTCAAGACTGCTAGTGTGGACAAGTAAGCTTATAAAGTTTCTGAGCAAGGCTGAGCAATATTTCTTTTTGCATTTCTTAGTATCTCTTTTAAAACAGGAATCATGCATATTGGAGAAATAAGACATTCTTTCAGAGCTGTCTGATTTAATGATCAGAGAAACCACTTCACAAATATCCTGGTCAAGGATTCTAATTACCTTATTTTCCTGTAGGCAAGATGTTTGTCATTCTTCCCTGCAAGAGCCGACAATTAATTTTTTTGATCCTTTGGATTTTCAGAATTGACAAGCGAAAGCCTTATCACTGTTATTACATACAGCAGATATCAATCATCCAGCCAAGGCCTGGGATCTCCATCATCACTGGACTATGTCTCTACTAGAGGAGTTCTTCAGACAGGTAAAACTAGGGAAGGTCTTTTCTTTTCTGCAGTAGAGTGTGTAGGATTGACTAAGGAAGTAGGAAAATATTAACATGGGTATGTTTCTTTTTCTCTGATGTTTTTAAGAACCTCCCAAATGGTATGAAGCTTTCTTCTCTAGCACCATTAACACTGGCTTTTATGCCTCTTAGGCATAGGAAGTTAGTGTTGATTCATTCCCTACGGATTTAAACATTACCTACAGAGTAAAAATTCTAATTTGTGAAGCTAATAATTCTTTCAAATTAGGAAAAGATGGAATATATGTCACTCTACTTAACTCTAGAACCATAAAACCATGTTTGTGTAGACGTATTTTATAGGACTCTACTTACATTGTTGCAATGGATGTGAAAAAGGCTTACTTTGCCCTTACGTTAAAAGAAGTGAACTGATCAAAATTATAGTTCATAGTGGATCACCTGTTGACAGACCCACAAATCTAGAGAAATCATTAAGCTCTGTGTGATGGTTATAGGGTTCTCAAGTGGTTAATAAAAAGCATTTAATGATTTTTTTTAAAAATAAGTAAAAGCAAACAGATCACTTAAGGAGTGTATAGGATAATTTTCTCCAGTATGAATTGCTAACCTGAGCAGTGCTAGCACTTAGGTGCTTATTTTCCCTGCAAAGTCCAATAATTTCATGTTCTATAGTAAATCTAAATACAAAAGGGAAAAATATGACAATTCTTTAAAAGTTCTGACAATTGCAAATGATGGTATCTGTTTTTAAAGGCACTGCAGTAATCCCTTATTTTTAATGAGGATATTTCAAAAATTTTCTTTGAAATTAGTCATTTGGTTTGTTTTTCAAACCAAGAATTGTTTTACTGGGTGGAAGCAGATAGCTCATACCTGCAACTGATTCTGTCTTGCCACACAGGAGGCTCATGCATGTAGGAGGATGTTAACATGAATTTTAGGGAAAATCTGTGCATATTTATGCTTTTCTATCTCAAAGTAATCCTAGATGCCTTAAAATACATTACTGCCAAAGAGTTATGAGGAAATTAAGATTACCTCACATTAAGATATGCGACCACAAAACCTCCAATTTTTTATTTATTTTACAAATGTAATGAAGATAATCTATTATTTTATATATTTTAAAGAGTATTTTAATTTCAGCCAACAGATTCTACCTTAGTTTTTTTAGATAAAGCTATATATAAAACTCATATTCTAATTCCAAATTCAGATGCAGTATTAATTTCCTCTTCAGGAAAGCCATTAAGCTTACCATGAATCATAGACTTGTGTTCATTGAAGTTATTGAGTACTAGATCAATGAGTACATCTCTATTTGATATTAGAAGAAAAACACACACACATCTCACAAATTGCTGTCCTAGTTCTGGCCATGACAGGGTTACTTTTTGCAGCAGCCAAGAGGTGGCATGGCTAGGACCTGGAGGTTATTCTATCTCACTTTATTTTCCAGGGATGAAGGAAGAACTGTTTTATGAGTTGGGGTGGTGTTCACTGAGCATTTGCATGTGAATCATTTCCTCTCTCTTGAACTTACCTATCTCATACTGTTTCCGGTAGATTATTATTATTATTATTATTATTATTATTATTATTATTATTATTGTTGTTGTTATTATTATTATTATTATTATTATTATTATTATTATTATTATTATTATTTCAATTGCTAATCTTTCCCTTTTGTGCCTCCAATTGTCCTCTCCAGCCCACTGCAGGGGGAGGGGGAGGGAAAGGGGAAGAGAGGAGTATGTGAGCAGTGAGCGGAACATGGTTTGGAGTTTTTTGGTGGGACCAAAAATTGAAGACTAAATTGAAGAATACCATTCCTAAAACAAAACAGCCTAGTTTGGCACCCACTGTGGTGGGTGCCAAACTCAAAGAGTTGAGATAACAACAGATGTGGCCACAGAGTGTTGGCAACAAATTTGATCTAAGCATTCGGTTTACTATGTATAGAGTCACTGGTCACAGTGTTGCTTGGTCTGTTCACAAGGTTGTGGTACCTAACTCTGGTAGTGAAGCCACGCAACTGGGATCCCTGCCTTGGGGTGTGGGCATTGACAAAGGAATTAGGAAGAGAACAGAAACTCTTAGCCTCTGGAGCAACTCCCGTCAAGTGTGAGAGAAATGTATTCATTCTCGCAAGTATGTTCTAGTAGTGTGGTCAAGCAGGGGGAAAGCTGAGGAGAAATGTATCTAGTAACTGAAAGAGTTAGGTAACCTATAAGGATTCAAGTAACAAGCAGTCCCTTGCAGACTCAGATCAGGTCCAGTTTACACAATCCATGTGGCAGAAGTTTGTATGCAGCACACTGTTTTTGTACATGAAGTCATTAGCATTGATATCAACGAAGGAAAGATAGTAAAGAGGGCTTCAGGTGACCAGACTACTATGGCAATATAAAATATTTTTTTTCCTTCCTGACTGCAGACAGACTTGAAAGATTCAAGGATATTAGAGGGGAAATGTCCTATGAACCTCCAGTATGGGCCACAATCTCTGCTATTGGAAACATGCACTGACTGACGCAAGAGAAAAGGCACACACGCAGTTTTACTTGACCACAGAGAAGACATGAGAAAGCGGTGTTATAGATGGATAATGAGATGACTGGCTCTCGCAATTAAGGGATAACTATTGTGTGAATATTAAGAAAAGCTTTAGTGGTGTATAGTTATGTTATTTTAGTTTAGATGTCTGTTCTTTCCATAGTTCCCTTTCCACCCCCCTGTATTGTTACCATCAGACAGCCGGGATTGTCTAGGACAGGTAGAAAGAAAGTGTGCATATGTGCCCCTTGCATAGGGCAGTTTGGAATGGAAAAGCTTGTTGCTTAGGGGGTGAGGCATGGCAACACCTGATCTCCAATCAAGTTACAAGAAAGCAGTCTCCACTGATAAATGTCCAAGAAGAGTTGACTGAAAGAATTTGGGAGGGGCCAGGCTGGCTGATGCATACCCCAGGGGTATAAAAGACTGAGCATCCATCTTGAAGATTAATCGGCCACGTGGTATCACGAGGGCAGTTCCCAGCCCTGCGAATTTTTCCTTATGTAGTCCTTTTGTTGTATTTTTGTCAAGGTCTAATAATCCTTTTTAAATTTTCAAAGTGAGCAGTTGTTTCTCACAGTGGGATGGAAAACCCACCTCTGTCCTAGCAACACAGGTGTGTGAATTGAGATGAAGGACAACCACCACAGAAAATTCTTCAAGCATAAATGCTGCTCCAGTTTCCAGTGGGCAAGTTGTTGGACACAGTGGAATGGAATCCATTCTTCTGATCCACTTGAAAGGACATCCAGTTCATATTTACAAGAAATTAATAAGGACTACTATGACTAGAACTAGAGGGGCTCTGCCTCCAGCAGGCAAGAGAAAGATCTACCGGACTGTATGAATCTAATGGCTTTGTGCATCAGACCTGCAAGAGTATAAGACTTTTATTGACACTGGCACACAATGTACCCTGATGCTATCAAGATCTATAGGGACAGAATCTATCTCTGTGTCTGTGGTGACTGGGGGATCCCAACAGATGACAGTACAGGAAGTTACAGTGAGCCTGACTGGGAACAAAAGGCAGAAACACCCCATTCTGATTGGCCCAGAGACCCTGTGTGTCCTTGGCATAGATTAACTCAGGAGAGGGTATTTAAAGAACCCAAGAGGTCATTGTTGGGCTTTTGGAATAGCTGCTGTGGAGACAGAGGAAATTAGACAGCTGAACACCTTGCCTGGTTTCTCAGAGGACTCTTCCGGTGTGGGACTGCTGAGGGTCAAAGAGCAACAGGTACTGATCACTACCACAACAGTTCATCATCAACAATACTGCACCAACCGGGACTCCATGACCCTCATCCATGAGATGATTCATGAACTGGAGAGCCAAGGAGTAGTCAGCAAGATTCACTCACCCTTTAATAGCCCTGTATGGACAGTGCATAAGTCCAGTGGAGACTGACAGAGGACTGTTGTATCCTAAACAAAGTCACACCAGCACTGAGAGCTGCTGTGATGGATATGTTGGAACTTGAGGATGATCTGGAGTCCAAGGCAAAAAGATGGTGCCACCATGTACACATTGCTAATGTGTTTTTCTCCATTTCTTTGCCAAGAGAGTGCAGGCCACAGTTTGCTTTTACCTGGAGGGGTGTTCCCTACACCTGAAACTGATGGCCCCAGGAGTGGAAGCACAGCCCCACTATTTGCCATGGATTGATTTAGACTAAGCTTAAAGAGGGTGGGGCTCCAGAACATTTGCAACATGTTGATGACATTATTGTGTGGCACAACGCAACAGAGAGGGTTTGTTGGAAAAAGGAGTATAATCCACATCCCCCTGAAGGTCAATTTTGCCATAAAGCAAAGTCAAGGGACCTACACAGGAACATCAGATTTTAGGAATAAAATAGCAAGACGGATATCACATTCCAATGGATTTGGTCAAACACATAGCAGCTATGTCCCCACCAGCCAGCAAGAAGGAAACACAAGCTTTCCTCAGTACTGTGGGTTTTAAAACTATGCATATTCCAGATTACAGTCAGATTGTAAACCCTCTCTAACAAATGACCCAGAAGAAGAAACATTTTAAGTGGAGTCCTGAACAGCAACAAGCTTTGGAACAAATGAAACAGGAGATTACTTGGGAGCAATAGTCCCAGTTAGGACAGGACAATATGTGAAAAATGTGCTGTACACTGCAGCCAGGGAGCATGATCCTCCCTGGAATCTCTGCCAAAAGGTACCCTGGGAGACTTGAAGGTAACCCCTGTGATTCTGGAGTCTGAAATACAAAGGATCTGAGACCTGTTACACCTCACCTGAAAAAGAGGTACTGGCAGTTTGTGAAGAAGGAGTTCTAGCTGCTTTAGAAGTGATTGTCACTGAAATACAGCTCTTTGTGCCCCCCCTATAACCTGTTTTAGGCTGGATGTTTAAAAGGAAAATCCTTTTCACACATTCAGATGCATGCTAAATGGTCTGTGCTGATCACTCAGAAAGCTCAAATAGAAACCCCTAATTGCCCAGGGATATTGGCCTGAAAGCAAAATCACAAATCACGAATTGGCCTCAAGGCAAAACTTTTAGACTTTCATCATTATTGGAGGAGGAAAAGATGACATGTGCTGAGAAGCTCCCACCATATATAATCAGCTACCAGAAAATGAAAAGTGATATGCACTCTTCCTGATCTACAGAAGAACTGATGGTTCTTCTGTATTGTAGGAATACACCAAAAATCAAAAGCTGCTGTATGGAGTTCTATGTGATGAGTTGCAGAAATTAGACGAGGTGGTTCTAGGCGTTCTATGTGATGAGTTGCAGAAATTAGACAAGGTGGATCTGGGCTGCAGAGTTGTGACATATCCAGCTGGCTTTAGTTTTTTCTGAATGAGAGAAATGGCCAGCGCTCTACATCTACACTGCTTTATGGATAGTAACAAATGCTCTGTGGGGGTGGCCCACAGACCAATGGAAAAAGACAAGTTGGCTGTGTGGAGTAAACCCATCTGGACTGCTGAAATATGGCAAGGCACTTCTGCCTGGCTTGTAAAACTAAGTCATGTAGATGCAAGTGCACCCAATAATCAGGCTACTGAAGAGCAATGCAACAATGGATAGGTAGAATGAGCTGTCAAGATTAAAGTGTCTCAGGTGGATCTGGACTGGGAACATAAGGGTGAATTATTTCTGGCTTGGTGGGCCCATGATGCCTCAGGTCATCAAGGAAGAGATGCAGCAGGGAGATGGGCTTGTGACTGAGGGTGGACTTAACCATGGATCTTATCTCTCCGGTTATCCACAACTATGAAATATGCACTGCAGTCAAGGAGGCCAAGTATAAAGCCTCTGTGGTATCAGGGACAATGGTTGAAATAAAAATATAGGGAGGCCAGGGAGATTGTTTACACTCTCTCAAACCCACCAAGTAGTATGTACTTACAGTGGTGGAAACAACTACTGAAGATGTGCTCGCTGCCTCTAATGCCATCTTGGGCCTTGAAAAACAAGTTCTGTGGCAACATGACACCCCAGAAAGAATTGAGTCAGACAACAGGACTAATTTTAAAAATCGCCTCATAGACACCTGGGCCAGAGAGCGTGGCATGGAGTGGGTGTATCATAGTCACTATCATTCACCAGCCTCTGGGAATATTGAATGGTACAACGGGCTTTTAAAAAACATGTTGAAAGCCATAGGTGGTGGGATATTCAAGCATTGGGATCTACATTTTGTGGAGGCCATCTGGTTCATCCATACTAGAGGCTCCGCTAATTGAGCTCCTCCTGTGCAATTAAAACCTCCACATACCATATAAGAGGGCAAAGTCACTGTGGTGCATATGAGGAATATGTTTGGAGAGAAGTTTAGCTTTGCCCTGCTTCAAGCAAATATGGGATTGTTTTGCTCAAGGATCTGGGTGTACTTGGTGTGTAATGCAGAGTGATAGGAAAACATTACCTTGAAGGGATTTGATTTTTGGGTGAGAACAGTCTGTACTGTTGAATTGTATAACATTGGCTGTGAGTGACACTGCCACTGTATGCCATAAGCACCACAAACAGTGGGTATGGACTGCTCCAGATACATCAATTGTGAGCTCCTGATACAGCTTGCAACCACCCAACAGAGCACCAGCCCCCATGCCCTTGAAGACACCTAAGAAGGATAGAATCCACAGTCATGGACTAAATGAACTCAACAGACATTGTGGAGGGATGGCTATTGACTACAAAAATTATAATAGTTCTTGTAAACACATAGAGATATATATATTTTTACTATATATAAGTATGTAGTTGGAAAGTGTAGGATCTGGGCATAATGCAAATGGTATAGAATAAGGAGTGGGTACTGCCCTGGTTCCAAACAGGACAGGGTTATTTTTACAGCAGCCAGAGGAGGCATGGATAGGACCTGGAGGCTATTGTATATCACTTCACATTATTTTCCAGGGATGGGAGAAGGGCTTTCTTCTGTGTTGGGATAGTATGACAGCAGTCAGGTTGGGCTCCATGCTGAGCATCTGCATGTGAATGCTGTTCTCTTCTACAATTTTGCTATTCATATTTCTGCTATTACTGTTTATTTTCTTACCTCATTGCTGTTTCCAATAGATTGTTCTTAAGTTATGATCTGTATAATTTTTTATGCCTTCAATTCTCCTTTCCAACATTTCACTGCAGAGGGAGTGAAATAGGTAACAGGGAGTGAGCAAGTAGTGAGTTTTGAAGTTTTTAGTGGGAGCACTAAATTGGAGAATACCATCCCTAAACCATGATATTGAGAACTACTACTAGCCAAGAGGACTATGGTTGTCAGGAAGCTGCTTGATCTAGGATTTGACATTTATTTCCTTATGATCACTTATTGCAGACCCTTTCCTTTCCTTTCTGCTAAGTGTTCTTCAGAGACATAAAGCCTGACTTAACCTGTATTAGAAAAGATCCCCAGCTTTGTTGATTTCCCAGTATTTTGAGATGTGACATGACACAGGTCTTCATACATCAAGTGACCCTGCTGTATGTATGAAAGATTCTAAGTACAAAACTGTTTTTTTATACTCAACATCTATGAGCATCTCTTAAAGCAAACACCTTCCCTTAATTAATTAGTTCTACTAATGTGTTTTAGCAAGCCATTAGGGAGCTGCTCAAACAGCTTAGAAACCAAGTGTCTCTCTGAGCAGTTACAAAGGCAGGCAAGTCTTCCTTTCCAAGATAATTACCCACTGTGGTTTTTAGAAGGTCTAAGGAGTAAAAGAAGAATTATGAGCTGGCATTGAGAGATGTTTTTTCTGAGTGATACAGCTGACACAGTAAAGGAATGTTACTTAGAAATATTTCTGTGTTTAGTTTGTGTTTTACCCTGATATTTTTATATCAGGCTCCTAACATAAATCAGAATTGCTCTACAATAGAAAGATACTATTGCTTGTTGTTCCACACAAAATCCTAACAGAAAATGTTTACCGCTTTTATATATGTTATATTAACAAAAATAAGAATTCATCTCTTGTACCCACAGAAGCTTTTCTCTGCTTACGTTTCCTGAATATTTTAGCTTCTATTTGACATTAGTCAGAACACTGGAAAGAAGTTCAGCACAATTATAACGACCTGCTAATTTAAGAAAGTTATTTTAGAGTATATTTAACAGCCTATTTAAATTTGAATGCTCTGTGGGGAGTACTGCAACTGTGTCATCCTATACATATCTTCTCAACATAATGCAATGTTATATAGACACTAAATTAAATTAACGGGCCTTTTGGATCACGTGACTTGAAAAACTGCAAATTTGGGAAATATGGGGTTATAACACTTGATCTTCTACCATTTTGTGATTCTAGAAAAGGACTTTCACTTCTGAGGGCTGGTAGGCATGTTTGGACTTACGTACTTAAAATGTAAATGTAATCTAAATGTGAAATGTTGTATTCACAGCATCATAGAATACCAGGTTGGAACCTGAAGGATCATCTGGTCCAACCTTTCTTGGCAAAAGCACAGTCTAGATAAAATGATCCAGCACCCTATCCAGCTGAATCTTAAGAGTGTCCAATGCTGGGGAATCCACCACCCCCCTGGGGAGATCATTTTAATGGCTTATCTCACTGTGAAAATTTTTTGTCCTGTGTCTAATCAGAATCTCTTCAGGATAAACTTGTATCCATTACCCCATATCTTTCCACATGCCTCCTTGTAAAAATGGGGGTCTCCATCTTTTTTGTAGCCACCCTTTAAATACTGGAACATGGTGATAAGGTCTCTTTTAAGTTTTCTCAAGGCTTAACAATGCAGTTCTCTCAGCCGTTTCTTACATGACAGGATTCCCAGTGGCTTCATCATCCCTGTAGTGCTTCCTTTGACCCTCTCCAACCTATCCACTCTTTTTTTGCATGGGAGAACAAAACCTGAACACTGTATTTCAGCTGTGACCTGGCAGGTGCTGAGTAGCATGGGAAAATGATTTCATTATCTCTGCTGGTGATGCCCTTGTTTATGCAGCCCAAAAATCTGGGGTTTTTTTTTTGGTTTTTTTTTTTTCACCAGAGCACCACAGAGTTCACTTGTATTAGTTCATTGTCCAACAGGACCTTCAGATCCTTTTTCACAGAGCTGCTCCCATCTGGATTGTTCCCAGACTGTGTTGTGGTCCTGGATTATGTTTTCCCAAGTGTGACCCCTTACATTTGTCCTTGTTGAACTTTGCAAGATTCTCATAAGCCCACTCTTCCAGTCTATCCATGTCTACCTGCAGGATGACTCTTTCTTTAGAAGTGTTCCATTTCCCACTTGGTTTGGTACCGTCAGCAAACTTCACCAGGGTACACTTGATCCCATCATCCAGATCACCTGCAAAGATATTAAACACCATTGGGTCCACTGAGACTCAAATTCTCCACAATTTATGTTTAAAAAACCCAATCTAAATAAAATCCAAACTTAATTAAAGAAATTAAAATGAGAAGCTTTTACAGTCATGATATAATATATGAAAAGTGCAGTGTGTCTTGTCTTTTTAAAATTCCTTCTCAATTTTTTTCTCCAGGGTGACAAGGAAGCAGAGGTAGGGCTGCCCTTCTCTCCTCTGTGTGATTGGAAATCTACTATGGTTGCTCAGTCTCAAATAGGTATGTCCCTTTTGGTGCATGTGAAGTAGCATCTTAAAAGAAAAACTTCATCTTCTCAGTAGCACTAAGATCCTAGTGGTATCATTTGTAATTATGTTAAAGAGAGGAAATAAGGCACAATGGCATCATTTTCCCCAGATCAACAATTCAAAGAGGAGCCATTACATTTATGGTGATGGTTCCAATGCAGTAACCAAATTACTTCTGATGAGTATGCAGAAATAACTACAGTACCTAGTTATGACACTTACTCCATGATTTTGTGATTTGTGAAGACAGGGCACACATTAGAATATCATGTGAATGAGTTTCATGGGTGTATATGAAAATGTAATGTCAGTTCCTTTGATGACCTGGACAAAACATTTTATTCCTTTTAACCTTTCTTGCCCAATGCTTTAAACCAACCATTATTTTTCAATGAAGCCAAGAAACTAAAAAATCTATTTCTGTGCCACCAATTCAGAAAAAGAGATATTTTATAGACTCACTAACAACACTTTCTGTAGCTCTCCATCAGTTACTGAGTGAAAAAGTCGGGGAAGCATGAGGCAGCAAGCCTCACAATCAGGGAAAGAACAAGGGGGCTAAGTGAAGTAAAAATATTCAGGGGGATTGGTACAATGAAGAGAACATGGGAAAGGTGGATTTTACACCTTCAAAGTAAGTGAACTAGAAAAACATGCTCCAGCCTCAACTGGAGAATAGGCAGAAAAATTGAATGAAAAAAGAAAGCGAAAACGGATGCTCAAATTCAGAAAACTGACAAAAACAGAAAGACAGAAAACATATTAAAACAAGCAAACAAAAATTTAAAGCAAGAAATTCCTCTCAAATAATGGCCTCCAAAAAGCAAGGTGCCACCACAGGCACCTATGGTTGGTATGATAGTGCCAAGTGCCTCCTGCAAACTGACATCAGGAACCGGGCCTGGTCAGTTTTGTTTCTCTGAGAAAAGGCCATCGTTCCTGCCTAGGGTCCTGTGGCCCGAAGTGGCTAACTGCCAGCTGAAATTCCAAACGTCTCAGGACGCCTCCCAGACGCAAGGTGGCACCACAGGCAACGGTAGCTGGTTTGATAGACCAAAGTGCCTCTTGAAAACTGACATCAGAAACTTGGCCTGGTCAGTTTTGTTTCTCTGGGAAAAGGCCATCGTTGTTTACCAGGTTCCGGTGGCCTGCAGCGACCAAGAGACTCCTGAAACTGCGAAGGTCGCGGGATGCCTCCCAGACGCAAGTGGCACTACAGGCAACTGTGTCTGGTTTGACAGTGCCAAGTGCCTCCTGCAAACTGACATCAGGAACCAGGCCTGGTGAGTTTTTTTTCTCAGAGAAAAGGTTAACAATCTTGTCCAAGATACGGTGGCCCACAGTGGCCAACTGCGTGCTGAAATTCCTAACGTCTCAATACACCGCTCAGAAGCAAGGTGCCATCACAGGCAACTGTAGCTCGTTGGACAGTGCCAAGTGCCTCCTGCAAACTGACATCAGGAAACAGGCCTGGTGAGTCTTGTTTCTCAGAGAAAAGGCTATCTTCCGTGTCGAGGGTCCTGTTCCACGCAATGGTTGGATGCCTGCTGAAATTCCGAACTTGTGAATATATCTCCGAAAAGCAAGGAGACACCAGAGGCAACTGTGGCTGGTTTCACAGTGCCAAGTGCCTCCGGCAAACTGACATCAGGAACGTGGGATGGTAAATTTTATTTCTCAGAGAAAAAGTTATCTTTCTTGTCCAGGTTCCGGTGGCCTGCAGTGGCCAACGGCCTGCCAAAATTACAAACGTCTCAATACATCTCCCAGAACCAATGTGCCACCGCAGGCAAAGGTGGCTGGTTTGACAGTGCCAAGTGCCTCCTGCAAACTGACATCAGGAACCTGGCATGGTGAATTTTGTTTCTCAAAGAAAAATACATCGTACTTGTTCAGGATCCTGTAACCAGGAGTGGCCAGTTCCAACCTGAAATTTCACAGGTCTCAGGATGCCTCCCAGAAGCAAGGTGGCACCACAGGCAACTGTGGTTGGTTTGACAGCGCCAAGTGCCTCCTGCAAACTGACATCAGGAACCTGGGCTGGTGAGTTTTGTTTCTCAGAGAAAAGGTTATCTTTCTTGTCTAGGTTCTGGTGGCCCGCAGTAGCCAGCTGCCTCCTGAAATTCCAAACATCTCAGGATGCCTCCGAGATGCAAGGTGCCACCAGAGGCAACTGTGTCTGGTTTGACAGTGCCATTTGCCTCCTGCAAACTGACATCAGGAACCTGGCCTGGTCAGTTTTGTTTCTCTGAGAAAGGGCCATTGTACCTGTCTAGTGTCCCATGGCCCGAACTGGCCGTCTACCGGCTGAAATTCCAAACGTCTCTGGATGCCTCCAAGAGGCAAGGTGGCACCACAGGCAACGGTAGCTGGTTTGATAGACCAAAGTGCTTCTTGAAAACTGACATCAGGATCCTGGCCTGGTCAGTTTTGTTTCTCTGGGAAAAGGCCATCGTTGTTTACAAGGTTCCAGTGGCCTGCAGCGACCAAGAGACTAGTGAAATTGCGGAGGTCGCAGGATGCCTCCCTGAATCAAGGTGGCACCACAGGCAACTGTGTCTGGTTTGACAGTGCCAAGTGCCTCTTGCAAACTGACATCAGGAACCTGGCCTGGTGAGTTTTTTTTCTCAGAGAAAAGGTTAACAATCTTGTCCAAGATACGGTGGCCCACAGTGGCCAACTGCGTGCTGAAATTCCTAACGTCTCAATACACCGCTCAGAAGCAAGGTGCCATCACAGGCAACTGTAGCTCGTTGGACAGTGCCTGCAGTGGCCCAGTTCCTGCTGAAATTTGGCACATCTCAGGATGCCTCCCAGACGCAAGGTGCCACCAGAGGCAACTGTAGCTGGTTTGACAGTGCCAAGTGCCTCCTGCAAACTGACATCAGGAACGTGGTCTGATGAGTTTTTTATCTCTGGGGAACGGCTATCATTTGTGCCCAGGCTCCTGTGGCCCACAGTGGCCAGCTGCCTCCTGAAATTCCGAAATTCTCAATACATTTCCCAGACGCAAGATGGCCCCAATGCCAACTGTGGTTGGTTTGACATTGTGAAGTGCCTCCTGCAAACTGACATCAGGAACCTGACATGGTGAGTTTTGTTTCTCAGAGAAAAGGCCATCGTTGATGACTAGGGTCCCATGGCCCGAAGTGCCCGGCTACCTGCTGAAATTCCGAAGGTCTCTGGATGCCTCCAAGACGCAAGGTGGCACCAGAGGCAACTGTGGCTGCTTTGACAGTGCCAAGTGCCTCCTGCAAACTGACATCAGGAACCTGGCCTGGTGAATTTTGTTTCTCTGAGAAAAGGTTATCTTTCCTCTCCAGGTTCCGAAGGCCCGGAGTCGTTGGATGCCTGCTGAAATTCCGAACGTCTCAATATACCTCCCAGAATCAAGGTGCGTCCACAGGCAACTGTGGCTGGTTTGACAGTGCCAAGTGCCTCCTGCAAACTGACATCAGGAACGTGGACTGGTCAGTTTTGTTTCTCGGAGAAAAGGCTATCTTCCGTGTCGAGGGCCCTGTTCCATGCAATGGTTGGATGCCTGCTGAAGTTCCGAATTTCTGAATATATCTCCGAGAAGCAAGGAGACACCAGAGGCAACTGTGGTTGGTTTGACAGTGCCAAGTGCCTCCTGCAAAATGACACCAGGAACGTGGGCTGGTGAATTTTGTTTCTCAGAGAAAAGGTTATCTTTCTTGTCCAGGTTCCGGTGGCCCGCAGTAGCCAGCTGCCTCCTGAAATTCCGAACATCTCAGGATGCCTCCCAGATGCAAGGTGCCACCACAGGCAACTGTGTCTGGTTTTACAGTGCCAATTGCCTCCTGAAAAATGACATCAGGAACCTGGCCTGCTGAGTTTTGTTTCTCTGAGAAAGGGCCATTGAACCGGTCTAGTGTCCCATGGCCCGAACTGGCCATCCACCGGCTGAAATTCCAAACATCTCTGGATGCCTCCAAGAAGCAAGGTGCCACCACAGGCAACGGTAGCTGGTTTGTTAGACCAAAGTGCCTCTTGCAAACTGACATCAGGAACCTGGGCTGGTCAGTTTTGTTTCTCAGAGAAAAGGTTATCTTTCTTGTCCAAGTCTGGTGGCCCGCAGTGCCAACTGCCTTCTCAAATTCAGAACATATCAATATACCTCCCTGAATCAAGGTGGCACCACAGGAAACTGTGTCTGGTTTGACAGTGCCATGTGCCTCCTGCAAACTGACATCAGGAACCTGGCCTGCTGAGTTTTGTTTCTCAGAGAGAAGGTTATCTTTCTTGTCCAGGTTCCTGTGGCCTGCAGTGGCCAGCTATCTGCTGAAATTCCAAACGTCTCTGAATGCCTCCCAGATGCAAGGTGCCACCACAGGCAACGGTAGCTGGTTTGTTAGACCAAAGTGCCTCTTGCAAACTGACATCAGGAACCTGGGCTGGTCAGTTTTGTTTCTCAGAGAAAAGGTTATCTTTCTTGTCCAGGTTCCGGTGGCCCGCAGTAGCCAGCTGCCTCCTGAAATTCCGAACATCTCAGGATGCCTCCCAGATGCAAGGTGCCACCACAGGCAACTGTGTCTGGTTTTACAGTGCCAATTGCCTCCTGAAAAATGACATCAGGAACCTGGCCTGCTGAGTTTTGTTTCTCTGAGAAAGGGCCATTGAACCGGTCTAGTGTCCCATGGCCCGAACTGGCCATCCACCGGCTGAAATTCCAAACATCTCTGGATGCCTCCAAGAAGCAAGGTGCCACCACAGGCAACGGTAGCTGGTTTGTTAGACCAAAGTGCCTCTTGCAAACTGACATCAGGAACCTGGGCTGGTCAGTTTTGTTTCTCAGAGAAAAGGTTATCTTTCTTGTCCAAGTCTGGTGGCCCGCAGTGCCAACTGCCTTCTCAAATTCAGAACATATCAATATACCTCCCTGAATCAAGGTGGCACCACAGGAAACTGTGTCTGGTTTGACAGTGCCATGTGCCTCCTGCAAACTGACATCAGGAACCTGGCCTGCTGAGTTTTGTTTCTCAGAGAGAAGGTTATCTTTCTTGTCCAGGTTCCTGTGGCCTGCAGTGGCCAGCTATCTGCTGAAATTCCAAACGTCTCTGAATGCCTCCCAGATGCAAGGTGGCACCACAGGCAACGGTGGCTGGCTTGACAGTGCCAAGTGCCTCCTGCAAACTGACCTCAAGAACCTGGCCTGCTGAGTTGTGTTTCTCAGAGAAAAAGTTATCTTTCTTGTCCAGGTGCCGGTGGGCCACAGTGGCCAACAGCCTGCTGAAATTCTGAAGGTCTCAATATACCACCCAGAACCAATGTGCCACCGCAGTCAACGGTGGCTGGTTTGACAGTGCCAAGTGCCTCCTGCAAAATGACATCAGGAACCAGGCCTGGTGAGTTTTGTTTCTCACAAAAAAGGTTATCTTTCTTGTCCAGGTCCGGGTGCCCACAGTGCCAACTGCCTTCTCAAATTCCGAACGTCTCAATATACCTCCCAGAACCAAGGTGGCACCACAGGCAATGGTGGCTGGTTTGACAGTGCCAAATGCCTCCTGCAAACTGACATCAGGAACCTGGCATGGTCAGTTTTGTTTCTCAGAGAAAAATACATCGTACTTGTCCAGGATGCTGTATCCAGGAGTGGCCAGCTCGAAGCTGAAATTCCACTCTTCTCAGGATGCCTCCCAGGAGTAAGATGGCACCACAGGCAACGGTGGCTGGTTTGACAGTGCCAAGTGCCTCCTGTAAACTGACATCAGGAAGCTGGGCTGGTGAGTTTTGTTTCTCAGAGAAAAATACATCGTACTTGTCCAGGATGCTGTAGCCAGGAGTGGCCAGCTCCAAGCTGAAATTTCACAGGTCTCAGGATGCCGCCCAGAAGCAAGGTCGCACCGCAGGCAATTGTGGCTGATTTGACAGTGCCAAGTGCCTCCTGCACACTGACATAAGGAACCTGGGCTGGTGAGTTTTGTTTCTCTGAGAGAAGGTTATTTTCTTGTCCAGGTTCTGGTGGCCCGCAGTGGCCAGCTGCCTCCTGAAATTCCGAACATCTCAGGATGCCTCCCAGACGGAAGGTGGCACCACGGGCAATGGTGGCTGGTTTGACAGTGCCAAGTGCCTCCTGCAAACTGACATCAGGAACCTGGCCTGCTGAGTTTTGTTTCTCTGAGAAAAGGCCATTCTTTCTGTCTAGGTTCCCATGGCTCGAAGTGGCGGCTACCTGCTGAAACTCCGAACGTCTCTGGATGCCTCCAAGAAGCAAGGTGGCACCACAGGCAACGGTGGCTGGTTTGATATTGCCAAGTGCCTCCTGCAAACTGAAATAAGGAACCTGGGCTGGTGAGTTTTGTTTCTCAGAGAGAAGGTTATCTTTCTTGTGCAGGTCTGGTGGCCCGCAGTGGCCAACTGCCTTCTCAAATTCCGAACGTCTCAATATACCTCCCAGAACCAAGGTGGCACCACTGGCAATGGTGGCTGGTGTGAGAGTGCCAAGTGCCTCCTGCAAACTGACATCAGGAACCTGGGCTGGTCAGTTTTGTTTCTCAGAGAGAAGCTTATCTTTCTTGTCCAGGTTCCTGTGGCCCGCAGTGGCCAGCTATCTGCTGAAATTCCGAACGTCTCTGAATGCCTCTAAGACGCAAAGTGACACCACAGGCAACGGTGGCTGGTTTGACATTGCCAAGTGCCTCCTGCAAACTGACATCAGGAACTAGGCCTGGTGAGTTTTGCATCCCTGTGGAAAGGCTACCTTTCTTTTCCAGAGTCCAGTGGCCTGCAGTGTCACAGTCCCTGCTGAAATTCCACACATCTCAGGATGCCTCCCAGACACAAGGTGCCGCCACAGAGAGCTGTAGCAGGTTTGACAGCGCCAAGTGCCTCCTGCAAACTGACATCAGGAACCTGGACTGGTGAGTTTTGTTTCTTAGAGAGAAGGTTATCTTTCTTGTCCAGGTCGGGTGACCCGCAGTGCCAACTGCCTTTTCAAATTGCGAACGTCTCAATATACCTCCCAGAAGCAAGGTGCCAGCACAGACAATGGTCGCTGGTTTGACAGTGCCAAGTGCCTCCTGCAAACTGACATCAGGAACCTGGCCTGGTGAGTTTTGTATCTCTGGGGAAAGGCTATCTTTCTTGTCCTGAGTCCAGTAGCCTGCAGTGTCCCAGTACCTGCTGAAATTCTGCACACCTCAGGATGCCTCCCAGACGCAAGGTGCCACCACAGGCAACTGTAGCATGTTTGACAGCGCCAAATGCCTCCTGCAAAATGACGTCAGGAACCTGGGCTGGTGAGTTTTGTTTCTCAGAGAAAAGGTTATCTTTCTTGTCCAGGTCCGGTGGCCCGCAGTGCCAACTGCCTTTTCAAATTGCGAACGTCTCAATATACCTCCCAGAACTAAGGGGGCACCACAGGCAATGGTGGCTGGTGTGACAGTGCCAAGTGCCTCCTGCAAACTGACCTCAGGAATCTGGCCTGGTGTATTTTGTTTCTGAGAGAAAAGGTATCCTTCCTGTCCAGGGTCTGGTGGCTCAGAGAGGCCTGGTGCCTGCTGAAATTCTGAACCTCCCAATATACCAGCAAGAAGCAAGGTGCCACCAGGGGCAAATGTGGCTGGTTGGACAGTGCCAAATGCCTCCTGCAAACTGACAACAGGAACCTGGCCTGCTGAGTTTTGTTTCTCAGGGGAATGGCCATTGTTCCAGGCCAGCTTCCGATGGACCGTAGCTGCAGGGTGCTTCTTAAAATTCCGAACATCTCAGGATACATGCCAGAAGCAAGGCACCAGCAGAGGCAAGTGTGGCTGGTTGAACAGTGCCAAGTGCCTCTTGCAAACTGACATCAGGAACTTGGCCTGGTGAGTTTTGTTTCTCTGGGGAAAGGCCATCGTTCGTGTCCAGGGCCTGCTGGCACCCAATGGCCGGCTGCATTCTGAACTTCCAAATGTCCCAGGATGCCTGCAAGATGCCAGCACAGGCAAGTGTGGCTTGTTTGACAGTGCCAAGTGCCTCCCGCAAACGGACATCAGGAACTTGGCCTGGTGAGTTTTGTGTCTCCTAGGAAAGGCCATGGTTGGTGTCCTGGGTCCCGTGGCCCCGGGGTGGCAAGCTGCCTGCCGAAATTCCGCAGGTCTGAGGATGCCTCCCTGAAGCAAGGTGCCACCACGGGCAAATGTGGCTGGTTTGAGAGTGCCAAGTGCCTCCTGCAAACTGACCTCAGGAACCTGGCCTGCTGAGTTTTGTTTCTCTGGGGAAAGGCTATACTTCATGTCCAGATTCCGGTGGCCCGTAGTAGCCGTGTGCATTCTGAAATTCGGAATGTCTCAGGATGCCTCCCTGAAGCAAGGTGCAAGCAGAGGCAACTGTGCCTTCTAGAACAGTGCCAAGTGCCTCTTGCAAACTGACATCAGGAACCTGGCCTGCTGAGTTTTGTTTCTCTGGGGAAAGGCCATCGTTCGTGTCCAGGGCCTGCTGGCACCCACTGGCCGGCTGCATTCCGAAATTCCGAACGTCCCAGGATGCCTCCAACGTGCAAGGTGCCAGCACATTCAAGTGTGACTGGTTGGACAGTGCCACGTGCCTCCTGCAAACTGACCTCAGGAACCTGGCCTGCTGAGTTTTGTTTCTGTGAGAAAAGGCCATACTTCATGTCCAGATTCCGGTGGCCCGTAGTGGCCGTGTGCATTCTGAAAGTCGGAATGTCTTAGGATGCCTCCAAGACGCAAGGTGCCAGCACAGGCAAGTGTGGCTGGTTTGACAGTGCCATGTGCCTCCTGCAAAGTGACCTCAGGAACCTGGCCTGCTGAGTTTTGTTTCTCTGGGGAAAGGCCATAGTTCGTGTCCACCTTCCGGGGGCCCGTAGTGGCCGTGTGCATTTTGAACTTCC